GTGGTTGTTCTCAGCCAGGACTTTGTAAATTGTATCTAAAGTGGAATAATATATTCACACACTTCTACCAAGGAAGGAATGGACTAGAAGCAATAATTGGAGCTCATGGTACCGACAACTTAAAAATGGACATAGATGATGCTTCAAACTTTGTATGTATTATCGCCTTTAATCCTCACAAAAACATCACCCAGTTTAGGAAAATAATCTCAGAGTGATTTCTGGACAGCTCCCAGTCGCACAGAGAAGTGGTCAATACAGAGATAGAGTAGGGGGAGTTGTGGGGGAGTTGTGGGCTCCAGAGATTATTCCAGGGATTAGGAGACCTCAAGTATCCCTTTCCTTTTCTTTGAGGGAACTTGAACACCTTATGCAACTGTGCTGGCATTCACTTTCAATTTAGAAATTGAGAGGTAAACGTATTTGGATGTTTAAAAATTACATTACTGAATTTGGGAAAATTACATGTGCAATTTTTTTAAATAAAAAAATATCTTTTGAGCTGCAAATTCAATAGTACATGCCTCTTTCCTTCTTGCCTAGATGAAAAAAATAATAATAGAAAGCATATAGAAAAAAGAATTAGCCTTAGGGTCAGAAATTACAAAGGACAAATGGAAGGGAGCTGAAGGAGCCACCAGATAAAAATGGAGGATTCTGGGGGTATAAGCGACCAGTGGAAAGAAGCAAGACCCATGTTCTTATGGCTTATACTGTTCATTCTACCTCCTTCTTTTTAATCTTTATTATAGATCTTCCTACAGTGTGTGGATGGGCAGGGGGACAAACAGAAGGACAATGGGAAAGAAAGAAAAGGAGAGAATGGAAATTCCATGCCAAAAATACCTGGGAGGGAAGGAAGTCTGTGGATAATATAAGGAGCATTACCAGGAAAGAGCAGTAATTCAGTGATTCTCATATATGTGTACAACACTTAAGAGCCAAATGAAGAGTACAGAAAAATAGGTTTGTTTATGGCAAGGTGGGAGTGGGCGGTGAGTATCCTTGCCAAGAAACGTGTTGAGATCAGAAGATAACTTGCAAGAGTTCTCTTTCCTTCATGTGGATCCTGGAGACAGAACTCAGGTCATCAGGTTTGGCAGCGCCTTTACCTGCCGAGTCATCTCATAGGTTCAAGACTTTTGATAGAAGATGGGGCAGGCTGGATTCTAAGTCATTCATTTCCTCTTTGTATATTTGCACAGTTGAGAAATTCTTAAAACATTACCCTCTTCCAACCTTGCTTTGGGCAAAGATCAATGCAAGTTTGAAAATGAGTTTTAATTACTGTTATACTCCTAGAATCTCCAACTTTTTACTGAGAAGGTAGTAGGTGATTTGTTGACCCGATGAATAAATTAATGCTTTAAAGCAAGGCAGTATATTTATTTCCCAATCAATATAATATCACTTCACATATTTGATAACAATTACTTCCAAACTGACCCTTAGATACCAAATCATCTCCCAACTCAACCCCACTGATCACTCACTCACCTCTGGAAACCCATCCTGTCACTTATATTTGCCCTTGTCAGTTTATTAAAGATTCAAAGGAAATAAAAATTCAAACCAAGAGGCAACCAAGAGTCCTTTGATTGCACAGTCTTTGCTGTTGTTAGGTATAAAATTGTCTACATCCTTTTAAATTGTCTACATCCATGATAAGAGCAAAGTATTTCAATAAATAAATAAATATGTATGCATAATAACATAAAGCTCCAACATTTTAGGTGTATTTCTTCTAGATTATTTTTCAAGGCTTTAATTTGCTAATGTTCCATATATAATTTTTATGCCCTATATATCTCAATTAAAATCGTGCCATAGATTTTTCTTAAATTACAAACAATTCTTCAATAAATATCATTTTATGTTACTGATTATATTTCAATGGAGAAATACCTATTTATTTATCTAACCAACAGCTTGGAGCTGTTCAGCATCAGACATGTTTCTATGCTGTATGAGGGGAAAAGTCACTGTACATGAATTTTTTTACATCTTTGATTATCAAATTAGAAAAACTTACTAGATAAGTAATTTCTGGGTAGGAGAAAATTCATTTTTAATGAATTCTCTTCCTACAACACCTCCCTCAGAGCTTAGACCAGGTTCAATTTCTTCATCCAGTGTAATTACAGTGCTCTAATAACCTCTTCATAATCTTCATGTCCATTTTGAAGACTTTGGTGTATTTTTATTTCCATTGATTTAAAATTTTTCTTTTTAAATTAATATTTTATTAATCATTTAGAAAAATATTCTTAAAAGTAATTTTACATACTTTAGAATAAAGACATCAATAAGTAAGAACTTCACACACACACACACACACACACACACACACACACACAAATTAACCAGACCCAAAGTCTATACACTTTTGTAAGTACTGATGCCTGTTAGAAGAGGCATTCTGAATGACTGTGCAGCTTCACATGAAATTTTATACTCTTAGTATCAAATATATCTTATGCATATATCCACTGCCAAAAAATTAGCTTTTTATTTTTTAATGACTTATCTCTCTCTGACTAAAGGGAAAATTTTATAGATTTCAATCATCCTCTCCCAGAATGCCTCACAAATCTACCCCTACTTTCCTAACTATCCAACTTCATATCTTACTCCTTTGCCTCCTTTTCTTTTCCTTCTCCCTCTTCTTCCTCCTCCTCCTACACCTTCTTCTTTTTCTTTCCTTTCTTCAATTTCTTCAAAAGTCCAACAACTCCAATTTCTCTTGCTCAAATACTCTTGGGTATAGGGATAACCCCTGGATCATGGCTGTCTTACCCTTAAAGAAAATGTATTCTCCTTCTACAAGAAGCAATCAATTGCCAACAGTTATTCGAGAGGGGTAAAACTTCCCATCCCCTTCTCCCTTGGATGATGGAATTTTATCTGGCTTGAGCTTGCACAGGTGTTGTGCATGCTGTCAGAACGATTGAAACTTTACATGTGGCCACCCACTGATTCTATCGTGAGTTCACATGTGTAACTGCTCTGTTTACTGTTTCATTGTGGTCACCCACTGATTCTGTTTCTTATGATCTTTCTGCCCTTCTCCTCTGCAATGTCCCCTGAGCCTTGTGGAGAGATGTGTGACACAGATGTTCCATTTGGGGCTAGGGATACTGAAGTCTCTTCTTCTCTGCATGTTGACCAGCTTCTTGATGAGAGCTGAGTGATGTGCTAATCTATGGCACAGCAATGTATTTTGAGGAGCCAGTTTAATCCTATGTCCACTTAGAATAGTAATAAATTCCTCCCTAGGGTCTATGACCTATGTACACACAGGTTCTAATATTGCCAGATATAGGTTCCTTCCTATGAAGCAGAACTTAATCAAATCAGAAAGTGTTAATTACTCCTAAAACAATCACTACAGGACATGTTTTGCAAGGTCATTCATTATTACAGGCCCCAGGATCATAGACAGGGAAGACCAATGATTATTTTTCTCCTCTGGCTGCATGCAGAGAACCGCTCACAGCTATGGAAGCTAGCCAGTAGACATTCCAAGTCAGTAGCAAACTGATTTCCTCATGTCCTGTTCAAGTATATGGTATCAAGTATATGGTATCCTCAGCAATAGGGTCTTACTGCCAAGCTCTGGAGGTTAACTAAGAGTAATGGCAATACTCTATAATGTTTGTGGGTCTATGCAGCCCCAATGGCCAACATCTCCTACAGTCAGAATGACTAAGATTTAAAAAATGACAATAAATGCTGGTATGTATATGGAAAAATAGTGGTACTTATTCACTGCTGTTGCGAATGAAAACTGCGGCCACTATTGATATCATATGAAGCTTCCTTTAGAAGATAAAATATATCTATCATATGATCCAGCTATGTCAAAACATCTATATCCTAGTACAGAGATACTTGCACATCTATGTTAATGTCTGCTCTATTCACAAAACCCAGGACATGTAAACAGCCTAGATATCCATCAACTGTTGAATAGATAATGAATATGTAGCCCATTTATGCAATGGAATATTATTCATCTGCTAAAAAAAACAAAATTATTATAAACTTTTTAATTAAATGAATGGAACTTTTATTAATAAATAAAAACATCATATAGTATCATCCTGAGTGAGGTAATCCAAAAGGACAAATATCACATATTTTCTCTCATATGTGGATATGAGCTTTAAATTTTGGCTTTGTGTGTTTCCTATGGAAAATCCACAGAGGTCAAGAAAGTATTAAAGAACTATGGGGTAGCTGTGTGTATGTGTCATCAGGGGTGTGTTAAAGGGAAGGAAGATATACTAAGAGTGCGTAAAGGGGCAGGGAAGAATAGTGGAATTGGAAGGGTTAAACAGGTTGGGGCTGGAAGGATTGAGGAGGGAGAATGGAAAGGGAAAACTAACTCTAGACTTTTTGAGAAAGTCATATGGAGACCTAATAATGCAGACACTTTCATATATATGAAGTCTATGGATTAAGTCCCTATGAACAAACAATGCTCCTATTAGATCTACAGGCTAGTGAATAAGAAGCCCAGTACCCGCTGAGTTACTTCCTTTTGAGTTATTTTTCTTTTACTTATTTACTAACTTTTAATTTTAAAACATACGTAGAGTTCAAGAAAAATTACATTATTCTGCATATTCTTCACCCAGTTTTCTCAATTACCAAAGTCTTCTATCAAGATAGTTCTTCTCAAACTCACTAAAGGTGATCTATAAACTATGTTGCTCATCTAAATCCCAATATAAGCTCAATGTACATTTTACTGAATTACTCAGAAAGCTATTTGTAAAGTATATTTGCGTTTGTGCTCTCAAGGCTCGGTGTAGATGTAAGTCCACTCTGCATCAATAGTTCTACAAGTCTGATACTCCAAGTAAGACAGCACCCCATACCCAGTGTTTGTCATAAAAGTAGGCCATCATTTAATGTCAGTACTCAGCTAGCATGAGTGTCATAAAGATGCTAATCTTTGCACTAAAAGCTCAGGGAGACAGAGGTTTGAACATTACCAGCTCTCGGGGTAGGAAGCTCCCTTCTTGGCGGGCAATGACCAGTGATACTGTCTCTCCCTGTTTGGTGCTCCTCAGCATGGCCACAAGGTCTTCCTGAGTTCTTCCGGTGATATCTCTGCCATTTACCTAATGAGCAGAATCATATGTACAACCACAGTCACAGCATTTCCTACCACCCTCCCCCTCTTTTACCAGAGACAGGCCTTGCTGTGTAGCCAAGGCTGTCCTCGAACTCAGATACTTCTGGCAGAGCTTTTGAGCACTGGGATTATAGATATGTGCTAGCATGCACAGCCCAGGTCCTCAGTGTTTTTGATCATTTGTCTTTTAAGTTCTGTGTTGTGAATAAAGTATGCAACAAATGGGTTCATAAATTCAATGAAGCTCTGAAGAAGTGATACTAAACACATGGGCAAACACACATATATTTTCAATAATAAAACGACCATCATAATTTTGATACTAGACAAACTCAATCAGAAAATTATTTTATATTGGCAATTTTCCTAAGTTATCACATTTTTACAAGGGAAAAAAATTAGACTGAAAAGAGCCAGAAATTAATTCGTCCAATATGTATGAAGTGGATTGCAATATACCAGGCAGAAGTGAATTATTTATCATATGGCAACTTACTCTGGAAATACAAGTGTTTTGGTATAATCCTAAATATTCCTTTTGTCTAGAAAAGTGATGTCATCAGGTTACCATAGGTTACTGGAAATCAGACTCAGAGCCTCATTTGTCAGTTAGAGCATCCTTTGTGATCTAGAACCACATGAAGTGCTAAGCTGTTTCCAAAACATACATTATCAGTGAAAAAGTTTTGAAAACAACTTTTCATGATACATATTTAAAAGCAATCATTCTCAAACAAGATTTCCCAGCAGACTGCCTGACCAGAGCTCTTTATTGAGAGGATAAGGTTATTGGACAGAAATAAATGGGAGAAACAAGCCTCAGATTTGGGGCATTCTAAATAATTCTCTATGCAAAACCAGCTCAGCATTCCTACTCCTGGTTAAATACAAGCAATGCTGATTTGGGTCTGGCAGTGTCAATAAAAGACTTCCCAAAGTTTTGAAGAAACTACTACAAAAACTTGTATGAGACTATGAAATTGTTAGCTCCAACAAAGTATTTAGTAAATACTTATATTAATTCATTTATCGCAGGTAAAAGAAATGAGATAGGAAATATTATTATTTGGTCCCACATCTCTGACCTTCTTGGGGACATGCACAGTTAGGATCCTTCTTAACTAGTTTCATAATTGAAGTCATTATCTTCTCTAAATGTAATAATTTCTAATATATGTTACATTAAAGATTAAACAGTAATATAGTCAGCCCTCAATATCTGTGAATTTGATAGTTAAAATTTAATCAACCAGATCAAAAATAATGAAAGAACTGCATCTGTACTGAACATGGCAAACTTTTTTGTCATAATTTTCTACACAAGACAGGATAAGTGTTGAAATGGCATTTGGATTGTGTTAGATATTATATATCATCTAGGTGATCATTTTTCTTTTATTTTTGATATTATAATTACATCATTTCCCCTTCTGTTTCCTCTCTTCAAACCTTCCCCTCTTTTTTCATTATTATTACATGCATATACTATCATATACTATATATTACTATGTTAATATAATGCTTGTATAATATATATGCATGTAAATTGTTAAAAATAACCTGCTAGGTCTGGACTAAGTAAAAATTTAAGGTATCAAGTATATGCAAATATAATGCTATTTACATATAAGAGTCGGACATCTGCAGTTGATAGTGGTTTTGGATGGTACCCGACCAACAAGAGAGAGATACTGACTACTATATACGTCTATTTATTTACTTAAATAAATAAAAAATTAAGAATAAAAAAATAAAGAAATATTTTACTGAAGACATTAACTTCAATTCTTACCTCCAAAATTCTATCTCCTGATTGTAGGCGGCCATCTTTTATTGCTGCTCCCTTTGGTAAGATGTTTTTTACAAAAATGGGCCCAGGACCATGTATGGAAGAATCTCTGGTTACCACAGTGAAACCAAGTCCTTCAGGGCCTGGCATGCAAGACCAGAAAAATGCACTGTCACCTTTAGCATGGGCAACATTCCATTCACTCCTTTAGTTAACTCTGCCTACCTTATAATAAAGTAGGCCAAGTGAATTATTTACATTTTATGTAGGAGAACTTCTATAGGCTTCAGCTTTCCTGTTCTAAGTAAAGATTACAGCACTAAACAGGCAAATGGCAGCATCAAAGTGAAGTTAGGATGTGACATATTCACATCATACATTTGTTCACTCAGGTTTCACAAGACAATGCATCTCAGCCCTATGGCCAAAGCATTGATCCCGCAGCAATCCGTCTCCCACCTTCGTCTTTCCTCCCAGGCAGATGACTTCCTCTTTTGGGGTTCTTTGAGTCTCAAACAATTGAGTAGTTTGTGGCCCAGCCCTCTGTATCCTGATTGCTTTCCTGCTGTAGCTACTGTCTTGTCCTGAAGGGTCTGGGTGTCCCTTTCCAGTTCTCCTAAATCTCCAATTTCTCCCTTCTACTTTGTCTAAAGATATATGCAGATTTCTCAACGGTAAATAATCTCTACTTCATTCTTAGTGTTTCTTGAAGCTCCTATCATGAGTAAAGTACTGATGTTTGGATAAGAATTCTTCAAAGACTATGGTCGCCAGCCTGTAACACACTGGGACTTGAGAGAACCATAGGGTATGGGGCTCAATAGAAGGGCGTTAGGTCATTAGGGGATTTCCACAGAAGGGGCTATGACCTCCTGGCCCTCATGTTTCCCTATCTTTGCTTCTGGGCTGCTACAAGGTGAGAGGCATTTTTATCCTATATTCCCATCATGTTCCATAGTTTTGGCATAAGTCCAAAAGCAATTTGTCAACAAGTCCTGGACTGAAACTTCCAAAATCCTGAGCCCAAACAAGCCTTTCCCATTTCATATCCCATGTTATAGCATTAATAAGTTGATAGACACTTTCCTATGACCCTTTCCATACTTGCCCTTATTTCTTATCAATCTTTGATACTTTCTTGTTATGACTTTCAGACATTAGCTCTTCCTTTAATCTTAATATTTTATTTTCATCTCTCTCCCTCTCTCACCCCACCATGCATGTCAGTCTAGAACCCCATCAGTGTTCTCCCACATAAACACAGATGATGCCCAAGAGTCTGCATATGGCCAGTTTCTCCTCTTGTCATCCTTGCCTCGACCAGATCTTTGATTCCTTGTCATCTCCTTATAGAATGGAGCTAGCATCTGGGTGGTTCATTTGTCCTCTCACCTATCCATCTCTCTGTACCTCTGTGTTTCTGTCTCCTGAATGTAATTATGAATATTTCAAACATTGCTATGTTGCTCCTTCTTCAATCCAGATCCTGCCATTATCAAATAGGCTCATCTACTTAAAATTCCAATTTCAGTCAATGACATTTTCAGTATGCAATTTGCCCTGGCTGAAGACCTCAGCAAAAACTGTAATTTTTCTTTCTTCCTTCCTACAACCATTTCTCTATTAAGGCCTGCCTATTACGCCTTCACATTTAGACAGAGGCAGCAAACCCTTGCTGATCTGCTCCCTTCTTTGGAGCATCTTTTCCTGACTCTGTGACAGTCTTTATCTTTTTCAGCTCTTTATTTTCAAAGCACCTTACCCACATACATAGCTGGGTTATTGGTACATAATAATGCATCTGAACATGACTTGTTTGTAATGCATTTACAAATAAGCACATCAAACTCTGTGCATTCTTCTCAAGTTACTTTGTTCCCAGGATAAGATTTTTATAAGTAAATGAAATTTTGATCAGAGAAATCTTTTTCAGAATAATTTCTACATCCTAATGAAATATACATGCTGTTTGTTTTTGAAATTCACAAATAATATTTAAATTTTTCCTGATGACCATTAAATTATTAATTCAGTGATTTAGGAAAAAAAAAAGCCTATTAGAGCTGTTGAATTGGCTTTAAAAACCCCAGGATTTTGGAGGAGGGAATATCATGAGGAGGTTAGAGAATGAACAGGAACACAACAGTGCATGGGCACGGGCACGTGAGCATTGTGTAATGCTACACCAATGTGCATGGACACACATGGCCCAGGACAATTGCTTTGTGCTGGAAATGGACAAAGAGATGAAACAGCTTAAGAAAGGCTGTACATAGTCTTGAAATTAGGATTATCTTGACTCTATCTGAAGAGCTGGTACAAGACCATTCTACAGAGCCAGAGGCCATATTGTTGAACTGGCCTAAAAGATGCTTTAAAAAAATCACTCACTTGTGCTCTAAATGAAGATAATTAACCTCTCCTGCCTCCTCCGTATTGAGCTGTCACACAATGCTGCTTATCAACTCTGCACCAATTCTCTGTATTCCTCACTGTCTTCACTGCTTTCTGGTTTCAAATAATCTAAACTTTGCAGGAAAAAAATGTAAAAGTACTACAGGTTTTTTTTTTTAAATTAAGTTATCCAAGTATACACTCAAATATATTCTTTGATACAATTAAATAAAAAGAGAATGAAATAAATTAACCTTAATGCATTTCTCTTAACCAGTTTTACATGGTACAATAATAGAATGCTATTAGGTATAATTTAGTAATTACCTTTCTTTAGGTCAATCTTAATTTTTTTTGCATTTTTCTTGCTGCCAAACCCCATGAGAGGGGAGAGTGAGGGAGAGGATGCTTTTCTTCCTAGTCTTGGAACTCGGGGGCTCTTGCTTTGCTGCAGGGACGTTGGGTCGTCCGCTTCAGGGCCGTTTGCTCCTGTTAGGTTTACCGCCTTTAGTCCTGGTCTCCCAGGGGCAGGAGGTGGGACCGTGGTTCTTGAAGCCCCATCACTGTTGCCAAAGATGTTGAGGGGTCCGATGACTGATTTTTCATACTGTTCGCGGTTTTGAGGCAGAAGCACATGGAGGACCACGCTGGGGGATTTCATCGCCTGACGGAAGACGTCCTGAGCCCTTGAAAGCGTGAATGAACAGAGAACGTTGCTGGGTTCTGACATAGCACTTTCTAAGGTACCCAGCCACTGGGCAACCCACGCAGCCTGGTATCGTAAGTACAGGAGGTGCTGGGATCGCCACTACAGCCTGACTCCGTCATCGAGTGGCCACTCAGTGTGGATGACCTGCCCATCAAGGGGCCTCCGCAGTGGCTACAGATGAACGAGGACTGTGTGTACTCCCCTAGCGTATTTTTCTTAACAACTACATAAAGTAAATGTGATTCACTTGCATTTAACGAATTCAAGTGGAAGCTTAGAAAGACCAAAAAACTTAACTGGCAACTCTCAGCTTTTAAGTGTTTGTAAATATGAAGACCAACCCAGAATTAATTAATGAAGCACATGTTAAAAGCAAACTAAAATCTTAATTTTAAAATCAGGTTATTAATAGGCTATTTTTTTTTACTTGACTCCAAGTCAGTTTTGACTCAGTTTTGGCCTTTTATGACCCAGTTTCCAATCTTGTAAAACAGGGATTATCAAACTGCCCAGCCTTCGCAAAACAGGATGGCAAAAATATGCAAATAACATATTAATAATTACCATAATTCTGTACAACAATAGCTGAATGGAATAAATTGTTTTAGAAAGATGTCATTTCTTTCTACCCCTAAGCAGCCTCCAGTGATTTATAACCTTCTACTGGCAACCACCAGGCCCCAATATTAAAAAGGAATGGCCAAAAAGATGCTGTGTTATGGGCAGTTTGACTCAGAAGCAAGATAGGCTCCTGGTTATTAATAAAGATTACCATTGCTTATTTGCCTAACTTTGAAGCCCTGCACAATTTCAATACATATCAATATATATATATATGTTTATCTAGATGCACCTGGATTCTATATGTCCTAGTTCCTGTGTAGAAACAGGTGTTCCCCATAATATTTTTCATATTCAGAAAGATGATTTCTTGAAGAGGAATATCTCAATTTTTACAATTTCTCTTATTCACTGAGTCCTCATAGACATCACCCACAAATTTTACAGTTTAAGGGAGACTGACATCAGGATATTAATTAATAAGCTGGATTAATTGTCTGTGAAAAGAGCCAGTAAATGCCAGTCTAACTGACCCGTAGCCTAAGAAAAACAAAACCCTTCATTCTTGGATGTGCCAGAAAGACTTGCAGGCGGGAAGGCTTGCTGCATTCCATGGCTCACCCTCCCTGCAGACATTAGGCACATGTGTTGGCCACCTCTGAGTATGTCAAAACATAAAACGCATTCAGAAATGGCTGGTCAGGGTTACTTAAAGGGGACTTGCAGGACAAGCCACCTCTTATTTTGATCATCCTGAGCTCAGTAATGATTATTCAAGAGATCAATAAGATAAATAAAACAATGAAAAATGCTTACTGAGCAAAAGTTTTATCCAGGAGTTCCACATTGTTGATTTTTACAATGCATTCATTCTCCTGAAATAGTCCCTCCTGCTTGCACCTGCTGTTTTCTTCGATGCCTCGGATGAAGAGTCCTAGGGTCCTAAACGAAACATTTAGGTTGAAATAAAACAGAACCAGTGTGCTCATTATTTCTTCTCTTGCAGCTATTCAGAAATAAATTTTGGTTTCTGTTTACTAAATAGAGTATGCTTCTATTCAGCCTTCAAAGTCACACACAACCTGTACACACACGCACACACACAGTCACACCACACACACACACACACACACACACATACACACACACAACACACTCTCTGCTGCCTGAAGGCAAATATCCCTATCATAAATACCAACCCATTTCTATGTTGCTGTGATATTAGAAAAGATGAGTATAGCTCAGTGGAGAATATGCCACCCAAGATGAGCAGCCTGACTTCAGGCATCAGGCTGTCTGTGTGGCCAGGGAGAAACTTGGTGCTGGTGATGGGAGAGAGTTAGACATTCATAGCAGTGTTTTGCAGTTTCATTACATGGTCTAGTCATTTTTTTAAAAGTAAACAAACATTTCAGCTCAAACCCTATTATTCAGAGGAACATCTGTGAGCCTCTGAGACAAGTCCTTGTCAGGGGTTTTCTCCATCCTCAAGAGAAAACAAGAAAGGTTGGAGGACCAGATCTATGTAAAGAAGGGAGAGTAAAAGTTCTAAACTTGGAGAAAAGTAGGGTTTAAAAACTAACACTGGGTGGGAGGCCCCTACCATCAAGAGGGAGCTTCATGAGTCAGCAATGAGCCTGATCTGATAGAGTGGACAGGAACCAACACCAACCTCAGATTCAGGGAGGTACCAGAGGCTCCCAGAGCTTTGAAATTCTTGTTCAGCATCAGAAGGGAGAGGGGACAGACAATGAAAAAAAATAAAAAAAGGAAACTATAGCAAACAATAGTTACATTTCCTATATAGTTCTTTCATATCCCCTCTGGATACCAAACTCTATAGATGCTCAAATCCTTTATGAAAACCACCATAGTGTTTGCATCTTCTGTACGTTTTAATTATCTCTAGATTACTCACAAAAATCCAATTCAATGGAAGTACTGTAGAAATAGCTAATATAATGCTTAGAGTATATAACATTTTTTTTAAAAAAGTCTGCATAGACTTGGTCCAGATAGAAGATTTTGTTGATATCTTCAGTCCGCAGATTCTGGTGTACATTTGCAGGCTGCATGAGCGCATTCGATATGTGTGTTTGCACGTGCATGCTTCATCACCCTCATAAAACCAAAACTAAATCTACCACAAGAAATGGAATCTCTACTGATTTTTGCCATTGCCCACTTTGGCGAAGTCCTTTATTTTTGTGGCATAACATGGGCCTCATGGTGTGTCACAGGGAGACAGAGTGATGGGCCTCCAGGGGTGTCTGCTGGGGGCAGAGAAACTGCTGCCTCCATGTTCCCTGTCCCCTTATTATTCTATTTAGTCACTCTCTTTTGAATAAGAGCCTTGTGTGCTACATTACATACTCCCTTTGCGCTAAATTTCAAATCTAAATAAAATATGAGCACATTTTTATGTGTGAATAATAAGGTCAGCCATGCAAAAAGGGCATCCTGTAATGAAAGCCCAGAGAAAGGGATCCTCCCATCTGGAGAGGCCACGAAATGGAGCCTCTGCCTCCGGCCTCAGTTCATTTAAGGAGCTCAGACCATCTCCAGGTATCCATGGGAAGGGTGCACACAGTGGCACTCAGGCCCCTCCCTCAGAAATGTTCAGAGAACAGAGTGCGACGCCCTCTACCGCAGGAAGGGCTCCCGCTCATCTGAGCAAGTGTGCACAGGGCCTCAGCCTTCATCCCCGGCTTCTAGAACTTTACTGAATTAATCCAACCTATCACAGTACCTCCCTTCCCCGGCACAATCCTAAAGTGAAAACTATTTGATATGAAAAAGGGAGAGTGAGATCAAAATCGTGCTTTCTCCCAAATTAAACTGCTCCTCGGATCGTTCACAGTTTAGATTTTTGTTACGGTGGCTTCCCCATAACACGATCCATTAGGAGGCTCACGTGTGGTTATAAACCGGTTTATGTAAGTGATATTTTTTTAACAAGCATTCAAGTCTTCCTTTAATTTAATTCAGTACATCATCAGTCATGTAATGTTACTCCCTAGGATTTAATTTCACATTTTGGGAGATGAATTAATTCTTTCGGGCCACTGGGTTGCAATTTAGCTAGCATATTACAGCTGGAGCATGCTATGTGAACCTCACTGATCTAAATAACCTAACTTTCCATGAAAAATTTATTGACAGAATAAGCCCAACTGTAAAACCTGTGTGTCAGAGGTAATTTTGGGAAAATGTAAAACTGACTGATTTCATTAGTTTGGTCCCCAGCAACAAACCCGTCCTGCCCTGCCCTCCCTATCATCCGAAAGGGGCAAATTCCCTGCAGTATGATGTCACCTCAGCACTGTGAGAAAGCTTATGAGACTGTGTCTGCTTTTACATACTGGTGTGATAGCTGCCTTATTCGAGATAAAATCTTTACCGGCCTTAACAACTAATGCTGCAGTGTGGTCATAGGACATGAGCAACATGAGCAATAGTTAGTGTTAAAGGATGCTAAAAATCCAGTTGCCCAGCGGGGGTATGACTCATCCCTTCAGACCCTAGTACCTGATCCTGAGCAGCCTGAGCTCACCCTGACTCCTGTGGCTTCTCCTCTCTGCCAGCCCAGCACTCCCTCTGAACCTCTTTCTTCTCCTCCACCTTTGGCTGTTTAGCTAGCATTATGATGAAAAAAAAGAAGTGTGTTATCTGTTTTTAGTGAAAAAAATTTAGCATTTTAATTTTTAGTTACCATTGATATTTTAAAAATAAAACATTGTAATTTTGTTTGTGTTTTGTGCTTATTTCCTTTCCAAAAGAGAGAGAGCAAAACCAAAAAACAAAACAAAACAAAAAACCACCAAAAGCAACAAACACAACTGGGAGAGCCAATGGCCCTCCACTCCAGCTGAATCCAGCAGCCCCTCCTCTGCTATGCACTGAATAACTGGGACTTCAGCTGGTACAGCGGCCTCGGGGTTTCACTCAGATGTTCTAACTTAGAGTAAGGCTCTCGTTCAGCAACAGGTGTGGCAATATTTTTCGTAATAAAAAAAAGAAAAAAAAAACACTGGAAGCAGAGCCAATTATAGTAGTCTTATTAAAGAATTAAATGTAGATTCTAATTTAGAAGAATGAAACAAACTAATAAAGGGAAGGAGATTAAGAGCGAAGCACACCACAGTGACCTAAGCAAGCCCCTGTGCCCACACAGTGAAACCAGATGGCGGCATGAAGGCAGACACTTGTCTGACATGCTCTACAGGCAGTTACATCGCGACACATGGGTTGAGTTAAGTGTGCTGTTTCAGCCTGTACTCATTACTTCTTAACTTTTATTGGCTCATGTCTCCACTTCCATATGATTTTTAATGGATTTTAATTAAATTTCCTTTCTATAACAGTAGTAGATACCAAAAAAAAATAATAATAGAACCATTTCTTCAAGTTACTATATAAGTTGACCATGAACTTACAATGAAACCTCATTTGTGAATCAGGCTGTTTTGCTTTATCCAAAATATTCATTGTACTGACAATTTATGCGTTCATGGGTTGTGGGTTTTACAAGGAGCTAACACATTTTTAATGTCACTTAATTCCCCACAACCTTAATGTGAAGTAGGTTTTCACTGCAGATGAGTTTGGAGGACTAGCTGGAGGTTATGTGAAGAGAACACTGGAATTAATTCCTTTGAGGCCCAGTCAAATCCTCTCTCCACTCATCTTCCACACTTGTGCTAGGACTCAGAACCCCAAAGCAAAACAGGGGAAATCAATACATTCTGGCCTGTCCCCTTCTTTGAAGTGAGAGAAAGGGAGTTTCATCTGGAGGGCCAGCTTCTTTTCTGAACAATTGAAAATGAAGGATGGTGACTGTCACTGTGGATATTTTTTTCATTTTGGGAAATTGCAAAGATCCTATGTTCTATTCCAGGTTCATTAAACTACAGGGCCTGGTAATTTAACCACTCTGGTATTTCTCAAAGCTCTATCAGTCCACTTCTGCCAAAAGCCATTAGGATTTCTCACGGGAACTGAATAAATACTCACCTTGTCTGTCAAAAACAACCTCGGTCTGTCCTCTGGCATAACCCATAGCATATATAAACACACTTATTAGCACACACAGGAAACCAGACAATAAGAGCCGCTGGCTTTTCGGTTCATTTCTTTTTAGGGGCCGTCCATTCCAGCAGGAGCTTGGCATCAGATGTTATATGGGAGAAAAATAACGTGACGTCTTTGCAATTACAGGTAGCAGATGGCTACCTGCTGAAGACGATGCCAACCCAAATATCATGACTAAAGCTGCTTGTCCTTTGATATGGCCAACTGGATTGAGCAAATATCCAGAGCCAGTAAATTAATACTATATAACCTTTGGGGAAATTGTGCTTCTAGAAAGAGCAATGGAATGAGGACAAGTCAGAGATCTCAGTTTTGAGTGACTGTGAGGGCAAAAAAGCATATATCTGTGGGCTTTTCTGATCTTTGGTATATTGGGCTAAAATAAAAATGTTCTCACTGTTCAATGACTACTTAAGGAAGTAGATTTGGGCTATTGGTTATAATCATGCCCCATTGGTGAAAAGCTGATTTTTCTCCAGGTTCCTGGGGACCCTTGTTAGGATCAAGGGAGTACGAAAGGCAGCCATCTTAGTGAGGATGGCATGCAACGAACAGAAGTTCCAGAAGGTTGTTATCCTAGCTCTAATGCCAGCTCTGCTGCACACATTTTCATTCCCACCAGCAAAACAGATTTTATATCCAGTCAGTCATGGATTTCAAGAAACAGTAACACAATCTGAATTAGCATTTGCCAGTATGTATTTATCAGCAAATGTCTTTAAAATTCTAAAAGGATGTAATGAATAGTCTTCAGTGGCCTGAACTGTACTTTAGAAAAAAAAAAAACTAACAGAAAGATATATTATCATCTATAACTAAATAAATACAGGTGTGTGTGTGTGTGTGTGTGTGTGTGTGTGTGTGTGTGTGTGGCTGATAAGCTACTAGAATGTAAATGTTTATAATTCTTAGTTCTGTATATATGAAGAATTTGGAATTATTATCTTCATCCATTGAAGACAAATTTATAATGCTAAAAATAAAAAAAAAAACTACTCAGTTGTGACATTTGTCTAACAGTATGTTAAAATCTTTGCCAAGGAGCCTGTTTACTATTCGTCACTCTCAAGGATGCTCCAAGAAAGTACTTCATAATTAATTGTAAGTGGAGAAATTGGGATGATTTTTTTCCCTTTCTTTTTTTTTCTCTGTATCCTAGAAATAAATGATTTTAGTCTGATTCTAAAACATGATGCCAACCAAAGTATTACTTAAGGAGTCCATCTGAGTAAGAGGATTTCCACCTAAGTCTCTCCTGGTAAAGGCATTTGTCAGGGTTTCCATTAACAAGAGCTTCTGAAACAAGGAAGTCACCTTACCGTCCACTCAGGGATGAAATGAAGGGCACCACATGTATTCCCAGGGGGTCTCCTTCCCCAGAAATCTCCACCGTTCTTGTCATATCACTGGGGCAGAGCAAAACAGGAACACAAATGAGTCTCAGGTAAAAGCCTGATGAGGTACCTTAACCCATCATAGCATCCTTCCCTGAGGGTTATCAAGTGCTGTAACTTCAGCACTTGGTAAAAGAGTGCAGGGCTTGTTAATATGTTTAGAAGATCCACAAAATAAGCACGTCAAAAAGACTCTTTAATTCCTTATTCGAATCTTTCTTGAAAAAAAAAAAAAAGAAAGTTGGGAAATAACTCACTACTAAAACAGCTTCTCACTTAATCTGCACAAATCAACAGAGACTAAAGGAGGTTCGCAGAATGAAATCTCTCCCTGATGAGACTTTCTTGAAAACAACTGTACAGACCACAGACACATAAAAATTAGTCTGTCCAATCTTAGGCTTGATGTGGGAACTTCTCCCCCTCCCGCAAAAGGGTAAAAGTGAAATAAAATTATTTATTAGAAAATGCACTGGACTGCAGTTTATAGTGGCAGAAAAGCCACAAGGTAACTCAGTTGGGCATGTTTGAAGCAATATAAATCAAAGCCTGCATCAGTTGTACTCAATGGAACAATTCCAAGTTTTCACCTCCTGGTTTCTTTCTTTCTCTCTATCTTTAAGGCAGAGAGAGGGGTTGCAAAAAACAGAGAAAATGTATTATAGAAAGAAATAGAAAATCTGACCTGCCTAACCTCGCAAGGATTAAGGAAAGGATGAGGGAGAAGCACTAATGGGGACTGTATACGACTGAAATGTAGAAGGCACTAGCAGCCTCCGAGTCACAGGGAGAGGAGCTAACAAGTTTTTGTAAAGATGAAAAAATAATAACTGTGAACAATTATTGGTTCCTTTAATCCCAGAGAGAGAAGGCAAAATTGCCGGAGGAAAATGATAAGGTTGGAGCAAGCATCCCCTTCGTGGAAATTGTAAACACAATTCTATTGTTTTCCATTCACGTGAAAATGACCTGAAACTAGATGTCAAATTAAGAGCCACAGCTGCCTCAGACACTTTTCCGCCCAGAATTGAAAATGGTAAAAATCTGGCATTAAGAAAACAAAGCGTCTGGCGAATTCACCCTGCATGAAGCATTTTTTTTTAATTGTCAGCAATCTAAAATAACTACATTAAATATATGCTAGTCAGTAGATTAGGCTTATTGCTAATGTGTCTTTCTTGCAATCCTATTATCAGTAAGAACTGAAATAATAATAATAATAAAATAAAATGAAGGCAAGACCGTTTGTAGGATGTCAGGGAGATGATGCAATTTCAAAACTGATAATAAATTTCAAATGATTGTCATTCAGATATGGCTGATACATCCAACTTGTTCAGTCAAGCGGGCTAGACAAGAGGCCTGCAATAAAATCAGAGACTAGCCAGATCTTAGCATGATGACACGGAACGAAAGGACATGTTTCTATAGGAGGGATGGGTAAACGTATGAGTGTAGGTACACCTGAATAGACACGGATGTGCAGTGTGAGTCCTGAAAGCAGAACTCTCGGAGGGCATAGAAACTTGTGTAGATTTTGATGATCTGATGCAGTAACTTTCGTATAATAATAGATTTAAAATCGAACTTAAGCATTCAAAGAAGACCAACTCCAATGATACTGATATTATAAGTTTAAAAACTGAGAATCTTCTTTAAACCACTAAATGATAATTATCTTTCTCTTTATAATGTTTAGAGTTTTGCCCACCAACACAACTTTCTCCTTACAAATGTATCAAGTATCCACATACCAGTGGATATGACCCACACTTTATATAGAAACTATAAAATATTAGTGTTTAGTCTAAGGCACACTACAAGATTTCAGCTCATAAATGGCTTTTATAGATATTGGCTTCCACAGAATTCATTTTTATAACTACTTATGGAGGTCTACTTAAAACCTCTCTTGTAAAATATAATAAATTTTATGCATATTACTATTTTAGTAACGATTAATCTTGTGTTTTTATAATCAACTAAGTAAATCTTATGCTTTGTTTTTATTAAAAGCTACTAAAATTTTGGAAAAGATGCAGTTTTAAAAATTCATTTCCATATGTAATTCTATTTTTCTATATTCCAGAGTAAACTTCTTTTTCCTTAATACACAACAGTTAGAGTTCTTCAACTAAGATTCCTAAGAATCTTTAGAGTACTCAAAAAAGGTTATCATTCAAAAATAATAGTATAATTGAAACTTTAAAACTGTGACAAATACGCAAACACTCACAGAAAATTAGGTCTGCTAAATAAAAACAACATTCAAATCCTTACATAGATCATGCTCTAATTTTATAAACTGCTATACATGAGCTGTTTCAAAATGCAAAGAAAGGCATCTGAAATATGATGTCACAGATAAGTTCACATAGTTTTTGATTATAAAAGAAGAATCGCACACACACCATTTTACAAGTACTTCATGATGCTATACAAAAATGTCTGCAGGTATACCTCTTGTGGGATATAAACTCACCAAGAGGGACAGCACACACTCTTATTTATCTCAAAATACCTCAATATATAGCTAATGGTAAGATTTTTTTTTTTTTTACAAAGATGTGAAAACATGATGCTAATGTTATTTGGTTAGATAAACCCCAGAGTGAAATTTGGACTTGGGGAGCATTTGTTCAAGATCAGAGGACAGTATGGAAGTCATGCCACATGAGTGGTAGAGTGGAGCGAGAATGAAGATTGTAGGAAACAAGGTGAGAAGGATACTGTAGAAGTGGAAAGTAAAATGAACCCTGGAAGCAGGCAAAAATGTGGCCTGTGTGAGGCAAGGATCACAGCACAGAGGAGTGGTTAGCGCTCCCTAAGGTCAATATTCTGGGAGACGCTCACAAACATTAGGTCACCAATGCTAAGTTAGCTGAATGTGAACGTCCATGTGACAGTCCTGACTCAAGAATCCCTGGGAATAGCCACTGCCAGTCTAACTACAAAACAGAACTAAGGAAAAAGCTGCAGGGAAGTGGATAAAAAGATAAGACTCTCGCTATGGACAGCTATTCTGCCAGACTTCTACTACCTGCTTCAACTGGTTTCTACTGACCAGGAAGAGCTTCAGGAGATGATGCGATATGAGCTGCAAATGTCTATAGGTCTGACTCCCTCATTCCCAAGACAAATGGAAAGGCTTTACAACATTGATATTATTCAACAGTCTCACTTTGAGAGAAAGGCTTACAGACAAGGGATAATTTTCCCCTGAAGGGTAACTGTGTATGAGTCCAGTGCCTGAGTTATTTAAACCAAGATGCCACGCCTCAGTTTTCTCACTTCTGCAAAAGGGACATTGAGATTTGGGGTTACACCCTCCCCCAAAGAGATGTTAGTTTTAAAGAGAAAAAAAATACCCTCATATGCATCACACATCTGTTTGTACACGGGATAGATAACTTCGTGCTATTACTATGATTATAAGGATTAACTTCTCTCTTTTTGAGAGAGACCTTTTCACTATGTAGCTCAGGTTGGCCTTAACCTAGTAGTCTTCCTACTTCAGCTTCTAGATTATAAGCCGACTGTCATCGGACCTAGTTTAGAATTTTCTAAGGGAACAAATCCATTTATGGGCTTTAAGGGAAAAATCTATTAGTTTTCATATTCTTCTCATGGATTTTCTTGGTAAGACTTAATGTTAAGCACTGCATGATTGAGGGATACTCTCCTTCACTATATTGCTTACACAGAGAGGAAAGACGAAAGGTCTTAGCAAACGCTTAGAAAAAAGTGTGCTTGTGTGTTCAGGGACTGAGCTGCAGACCCATCCTAATGGGTTGGACTCAAATGCACTGACTGAAATTCTCCTAGTTTCATGGCAGGGGTTGTATTAACTAATCTGTTCGAATTCTGTTAATTAATTCAGTTATCACAAACTCAGTCACTGCTATGGGAAAGTTCTGTAAAAGAAAAATCAAATAATCAAGAAAATAGAACCCAAACCATAAAAGTACCTGAGACATTTGTAATTAGACAGTGTTGAAAAAGATAATAATAGTGAAAAGGGGCTATATAATAATAAATGTCCTGTATCTGAATGCTTAGATTCAGAAGAGCTTCAGATCCCTGAGTTTTTAGAGTTTGGATTACTCATCCATAAATATATACAGAGCACACGGTACTCAAGCATAAACACCAAATTTATTTAGGTTTCAATATACACCTTACTCATAGTCCAAGATCACTTCCTACAATATTTTAATAACTTTGTATATGAAATGAAGTGTGAAACCTTCATTTGGCATCTGAGCAGCACTGAAAAAGTTTTGAGATTCAGATAATTGGGGATTTTAAGCTTTTGTATTATGGTTCATCAGCCCATAGTAAAAATAACAGTCCATATCGGTGCAAACTGTTATTTGGCAGGTAAGGTGCCTGTTGGCTCCTGATCATTATAATCAAATACATACACACTTTATCTCACTTCCGTTTTAGAGTGGCCTAGTGTCCAGGGAGGTGGAAGCATATCCAGTACCATCCCAGCGATAGAAAGTAGAATCAGGAGTCTAACTGGGACCTGGAGCAGGAGTCCTTAATCCCTTTGGTATGGCATTTCTAAACACAGGAGCCTAATCACATAGATGGGAGGAAGACAGCACAGGATGAGGAGAGTAAGCTGAAATCAGGAAGCCCTTAGCACTGAGAAGGTGCCCTGGTGGACAACTGGATTTTGCACTAGAAAAGGTGAGCTGGGATGGTGAAGAGGCAGGGCACTGGGCGTGAAGCTGCATGAGGTGCTGAAGCAGAACAGCCTGTGGACACACTTGTTGCCCATAATATCAGAGAGGGAGAGGATGAAGAGGGGGGTCAGGGGAGTAGGGAGAAAGCAGATGAGAAGATATAGGGAGTTATTTCAATAATCCTACATTTGTTGCAATTTGCTTCATGTCCCAACATGTGATTTTTTTTTTTAAAGACACCTGGATTAATATTGAGAAGAAGAATGTGTTTTCTGCAGTGTTTGGGTAAAACATTCTTTAGGTATTTGTTAAGTTCGC